TCGTTCTTCAAAATATCTTCCTTTGTGTTCAGCAGAAGAAAGAAACTCACAGGTTTGCAACAACTTGAGGGTGAGTAAATAATGACAGAATTTTCATTTTTGGGTGAAGTATCCCTTTAACTTTGTAAAGTTAATAATAATGATAGTAAGAATTAATAAAATTGATAATAATAATAATAACATTATTGAAATAAATATAACATTACAATATGTTGTTATAACATATTGTATTATAATATAATATCATGATTATTAAATAATTTTTGTTTTATTATTATGCATTTATTCATTTTTTTAATCCAATTCTGGAATTGGATACTTAAGGTCAGGAATCGGATACTTATTTAAAATGAAATTTTCAGTTCTGCTTATTGATTCCTGTGTACGCACTTTAATGTTATTTTTAAATCGTTCAAGCGCAAGAATATGTGAAATAGGACTCAATTCGGCACTTGCGTGCTGTTTTCTATGAGCAAACATCCGCGCAGAAAGCCGCCTCTGCAACAGATTGTTTTCCATGCATAATTTTATTATATCCATGTATGTGGTTACAGACAAATCATATAAAACAGTGAATCAAATCACTCTGGAACTCTGTTCTGTCTTGCCTGCAGTCGAGACTCGAGACGGTGACGTGAGCTCTACTGACAGTCTTCACTCCTATTGGTTGTCGCTCGTAAAACTTAGCTTCTCATTTGCATAAAGTTGAATTTTCTGAACTTGTGTCTCGTGTCTCTCGCCCACATTCTGTCGCCAACGGTCAATGTCGCTCGTGTCGCGGGAAGTCACCAGCCCTCCATTGAAATGAATGCGATCATGTCGCTTTGTCGCTGCGTGTCGCTGGCGGTGTGAACGGGGCTTAAATAGGCATATAGGTGTAGGCTATGTTTTGAATAAAGGAAATTCACTTTTGTTCCTATATAGGTGTGAACCCAGAAAACAACTACCCGAATCTCTACAGATTCTTTGTGCAGCTATGGATCTGCCTGGGTCTTGCCTGGTTGTCACTGTTCTTCAGCTGGAATGTGCATATGGTGGTCGAGGCTCATAAAGTGCTGAAAAAAAGGAGGCTGAGACGCTACAAGCTGCCCATTGATGACGTCCCGGATAAAAAAGAAGTAAAAAAAGCCCAGAAGCTGCCGCGTCGCACTGGCGCCATCGACATCTTTGAGTTCATGTCTGAGAAAGTCGAAGACTACACCGATGTCATCCAAGCTATCGGGGCAGCCGAGAGAAGGAAAAAGAAGCAGGAGGAAGAACTGGCACGGTCTAAGAGCTGCAGTGACCTATTGCAGGGCCTGATCATCCCACTCGATCACTCTCCTCGACTGAAACGGCGTTTCAGCGTCAGTGCGAACATGCGCATGGACATTTCTGGAGAGTCAACGGATTGCCTCAACAACAACCAAGAGGAACAGGCACTACTGAAAGAGCACCACAGAGACAAAAAAGACCCTAAGATTGATAGAAAGGGAATTAAGAGAGCTGAGAAGCCTGGACTCTGTTCATGGGAAACCAGAAAATCTGACCCATCAATCTTTCAGAGCCCTGTTCAAAGCCCTACCGTTACTACCAGTAATAGGGGTTCAAGATTCTCAGTGTCCAAAGTCTCAGAAGACCATTTAGTAGGAAAGAGAAAAAGCATTGGTTGAAGAAGAGACCGATCTACGATGTCTTCAAAACCAATTCAGCTCTGCTTTAAATCTGTAGTGAGGGAACACGATTATCCATGTCTAAAGTATTGAAGACTATTTGTTAAAGAGAAACAGCATTGGTTGAAGAAAAGGCTTATCTACAAGGTCTAAAAGACTGATCTACAAGGTTGCAGATCGAAAGGTTGATCCACAATGTCTTCAAAAGCAATTCAGCTCTGCTTTAAATCAGTAGTAGGGGATCAAGATTCTCAGTGTCTAATGTATCAAAGACTATTTGTTAAAGAGAAAAGGCATTGGTTGAAGGAGAGACTGATCTACAAGGTCTGAAAGACTGAAGGAAAGACTGATCTACAATGTCTTCAAAATCAGTTGTAGGGGATCAAGATTCTCAGTGTCTAAAGTATCGGTGGACTATTGGGGAAAAGAAAGGGCATTGGTTGAGGAAGACTGATCTACAAGACTAAAGAAAAGACTGATCTACAAGGTCTAAAAGACTAAAGAAAAGACTGATCTACAAGGTTGCATATAGACTGGTCTACAATGTCTTCAAAACAACTCAGCTCTGCTTTAAATCATGAATTTTCAGATGTGAAGATCATTAGATTGAGCTGATACCAGAGGAGCTAAAATGAGTAACTTCAAGACCCAAGAATGTTGCTCTGATATGCAGACCGCTGCGTCCTCTTGCGAAATCAAGCTGCAAAATTATTCATTGCTTTTCACAGTATTGAAAAACATTCAGGTAACACACATGGTCTTGCGGACAGTCTGTGACCAAGATAAGGATATGAGGGTTGGCAGAGGAAATGAAACCGATTTCCTTCCATGCCCTGGACCTTCACAGACTTTGGACAGTTTGGGGTGTGGTACTGTGGTTTTAACCATGGGTTTTTCATTCTTTCTCTGGATTTATGTTACCAAAATGACTGCCAGGACAACGTTTGAAATGGAATACTAGCGCACTGCTAACTCTGCAGTATATACTGAATAATGCGCTCTTTTTTTTAAAGTTTTAAATTTGTTTCAAATAATGACTTTTCAAGCAGGTTTTACAAACACTACTTGTAGCTTGGTCGGACAACCAGATAGCCCTGCCCTGAACTCACGCCATTGGTTGAGCCAATATTGCTGTGTCTGGATGCTCAAGCAAACAGACCAATGTTTTGATACCATTGCAGTGTTTTACAGTGTTGTCAGATGGAATCAGTTAAATATTAAGCTGAGATTGTCAATATCCATATTTAGTATAGACAGATGGAATAGAAAATGACATCTATTGAACCGGGAACTTCCCTTTAAAAATGGTTTGTGAAACAGTATGAGTATAATGCTGTTGTTGTCACGACCTCATTGTATGTATAAATCTGTGTTTTATCCAGTTTTCATTTATGAGAAGGTTTTACCCAATTTTATGTAAACAAACAGTACATTCTGAGTCTGATCAACGAACTATTTAAGAAAGGGCTGTTAGAATTGTGCGTTTGATTGTGCTTCCAGTTTATTTCCAGTCAAACTGGAATTGAAAGGTCAAGTTGATCTCACTGCATTGTGGGATACAGTATTCCACACAGTGTTGTTTCATTGTACTGAACATTTTGGCAAATGTTGTAGATTGCTTTTGCAATATTTGCATACGGCAAATAGCATGCCGTGTAGTTAATGTATTTTAAATTCTTAAGGATACCTTCTGTCTTGAATGCTGTGGCTGTTCAACTGTTTGGATGCGTTTAAACACGGGCCGACTGAGGAAGCACCTACTCAGGCTTCCAGAAAATTGCCTCCTCATGAAAGATTTGTCTATGAAAGATGTTATGGGACGTAACTTGATCTTACCACCTGACTGACTATGGATTTTTATCAAGAATTTTGCCTTCCATTCTTTTTGATTATCCTTTGTATTTTCTGTTTTGTTTTGTAAGCCATTTTTGCTAATAAAAAAAAAGTATTTTTTCACAGTATGCCTCTTTTTGCTGTTGCCAAACCTCATCCGGCCTGTTGTCAGAAGTGATGAAATGAATTATTAAGCATGACTGAGCATGATGAACACCTAAGTTCTTCTTAGTTAAGTCCTTCTCATTTGCATTTACAGCATTTCTAAAAACATTGATCTTCTCAGTAAGATAAGGTATAAACGTGCATTTGAATTCCATTATCAGTTAACTGTAAAATTGTTTTTCCAAGCATAGTAAAGTTCATAACATCACTAATGATTGCATAAGTGTTTTTAAATTCAGATTTTATTAAATGTTTACATTGTTCAAAGATTAAAAATGAACCTGAATCAGCGTTAACATACATAATGCAGCATTTACTTCCACAATATGAAAACAGATGACAAAAATAACGAGTTAAATTACTCACATTTGCATCAGTAACATTTAGGCATCAGTTAAATGGTTACATTTAGACAGTCTTCAGCAGCCCTACTTTTTGTACATTTTCATGTTAAATATTTTGCAACATTGCTGGTGTGAAACAGTCCTTATATCCCTTCATAAAACAGAATTATGTATGTGAACTTGCGCTTTGGTCCTATATTTATTATGAATTTATTCTCTTGATGCTTCAGCTGTTACCATGCAGTGCATATTTGCATTTGCATATTTGCAAGTCAAGTATAAAGGCAAAACCTCAAGTAGTTTGAATGCTTATGCAACTGCCAACGGTACAGTTATAGTTATGCTATGATGTGAATAAACAATTGGTACAGATGGCAGTGCCAATGGCAGTGGGTCAGTTCTGTATAGTATTCATAAGGCGTCTTTTTTTTCAGTCGGTCGCTTTTCTCAACACTGCAAAAAAACAGCAGCTCCATTACTGATATCCTGAGGATTATCTCAATTACTAAGTGGTCAACAGCTCCTCCAACATGGAGGATTCCTGTACATTTCAAATTAAGGTGCTGTCGCATTTACGTTTAGTAGAAGTTCCATGGACGAAATAGTCATTCCAGAAGTAGCCTAATCAACGCGATTGGGAATTTAGCTTGAAGAGCTAATGACTTGAAAACTCCCCCATGCGGATTTCGCATCGGATTCATGATTTTGCATCAGATGCAAAATTTACTGCGTTAACCGATATAAAGCTGCTTGTTTTAGAAGTGACTACTAAGCAGTGCTTCATGCATGGACAATGAATGATAGACCTAATTTGCCCGCATAATTTCGCTGACATTTCGTTAACGTGACTGCGACGTCACCCACTTCTTTCGGAATAGTTTGCTCAAAAATCAAACGTTCTGTAATAGTTTACTCGCATCCATGCCATTCTAAACCCTCTATGACTTAATTAAAGTTGATTAAATAAGGTGTGTCATACTCCAAAAATGACACAAAAAAAGTATCATAAAAAGTACTTGATTTTTGTACTAAATTGCCAGTTTTCTGAAGCCTAAAGATAGCTTTATATGATGATCGGATTGCAATTTAAGTTTATAATCTTGACATCAACTGAATCTGATCATTCCGGTTGTTATTTCTGACTATTATACACACAGTGTCCTTTTTGAAGCTTGACGAGTTCCAATTGAATAATTGAAATAGCATGGAAGATAATTAACATTATTTAAATGTTCTCCCTTTGTGGGGTTTGGAGTGACATGAAGGAATAAATTAGGATTGAATATTCAATTTAGTGTGAATAAATCCTTTAATATTTACTCATACTAATTCCTACTAAAGCCAGGGGTGTCTAAACTCAGTCCTGGAGGGCCACTGTCCTGCAGAGTTTACCTCCAACTTGCCTCAACACACCCGCCTGGAAGTTTCTAGAATGCCTACTAAGACCTTTATAAGCTGGTTCAGGTGTGTTTAATTGCAGTTGGAGCTAAACTTTGCAGGACAGTGGCCCTTCAGGAGCATGATTGGACACCCCTGTACTGTACAGATGACCAAAAACCACATTTCACGTCTTCCCCCTATGGATTAAGGAGCGTGTGCCACTGGCAGACCTGCTGTCCCTCTGACTCTTTCATCTGGGTCCAGTGTTCCTCTTGTTCCTCTGTGGTGCTGTTGAGGCCCAGAGCGACCCAACCCACCCGCTCTCTCCTCTTCATGCTGCTCCGCCGACTGTACACCGACACCTGCAGGGTGACCTCAGATAACTGGAATAGTGCCACCTGGAAGACAAATGTCTCTTTGTAGCTTGGGTTGGGCTGGCCATGGCAGACTGAGGTCTTACATTTGGACATCTCTTTCCCTTTGGAGTCCACCATTGTAAGCTTCACATAAGTGTCTGATGGAATGGGAAGGGGAAAAGTGAGTTACCACCACCTGGTGGTGATGTTGAGCTCATGCAACAAGTCAAACACATGGGCTATGTTCAGAAATAAATACTAGCTTACTATTTACTGAATACTGTGCAGTATACTGCATACTATTTTAAAGTTAAACAGTTGGCACTATAACATGACAAATATTACAGTAGTATGCTATATTATCACATTGTTTATCACATGACTTTATCACCCATTCATTTTCATGCATTGCACAATAGACATAAATAGAAAAAGTATGATGATAGTATGCTACTCCTATGGGTGAATCATAATTTGAGTACACTCCAAACTATATATTATGCCAGATTAGACCAAATGCCAAATCTTAGCACATTGGCAAAATTAGTTCCCGCCTCCAGCTCGGACTACCTGATCCACTCACTAAACTGTAGTAAACGCTACACAATGGCAAGTGGAAATAATTGGTTTAATTCAGCGATATATGTTTGAACCAGAAAATGATTCCGAAGAAGAAGAGGAAGAGCGAATTATACAAATTTATCTACAAGTGAATGTATCAGAATGCTAATGCGTTTTATGTATCGCTCTCTACAATGCCGGATACATTACGGTAATTGATATGATTAGCCTTGGCTTGACTACGTTATTAAACGGCTAATAATGTGATGCAAACCATGTTCCCATTCTCAGAGTCAGAAAGCTGCTTTCTAAAAACCAGCATCCTTAGAAACGCTTTGAACAACTTAGAAAGGGATTGGCTACATGTTTGTGACGGTAGCAAACATCCGCGTCAAACTTCTTTTTTTAGACTGTTTCACGAGTTCACACTTACAAATGATCAGAGAATAATGGTTATGTGTATTTGGCGTGCTGTCTGGGGGGAGGGCTCCGAGCTCGGAAATTGGGCCCGAACCCAAAGTACTCCCCCCGTATCTCTGTTTAGGAGGATAACTAGGCAAGTGTGAGGAGATGGGGTGGTGGAGGGATGCTGAAAACTGTCGAGGAATATGGGTAAGTCGACTGAGTATATTTATAGGCTTTACTCGTGCTGATTGAGTGGACCTGTTGATTACTGTTTGCTGACAGCTGGCTGGAATGACTTGATTGTTTGATCATTGGAACGTGTTCCTCCCGAAACTTATTAATAAAACATCAATTTTGGTGCAGTGCAGTTTTAAGGAGAAAACACTCAGCAAAGGTGTTTACTGATGAATTTCCACATGGTTTTGTTTTAAAGCACATTAAAAACACCACATAGACATACAGGGGTTGGACAATGAAATTTAAACAACTGGCCACTATAGTGTTGAAGGTTTCAAAAGTTCAAAAGAGGACAACTTGTTGGTGCAGGTCTCACTGGCTTATCTGTGACCAGGACAGCAGGTCTTTTGTGGTGTATCGAGCGCCACAGTATGCAGGGTAATGTCAGCATACATCCATGAAGGTTGAACCACATTTACAACAACAGTAACTGTGGACGCAAGAGGAAGCTATCTGAAAGGGATGTCGGTAACGCTTCCTTTTACAGTACAGTACTTACGTGTACTTACAGTGTACTTACCTAGAAAGTACTGGCTAATATAAGGTAAGTACATGGGTTAGGGGTAGGTTCAGGGTTAGTACCTAGTTATTACCCAGTAATTATAATTACTATAATAAGTACATAGTAAGTACATGGGTAACAGGACTGTAAAAGGAAGCGTTACCGGGATGTCTTGGTACTATCCTAGATTGTATCCAAAAACATAAAACCACAGCTGCCCAAATCACTGCAGAATTAAATGAGCATCTGAACTCTTCTGTTTCCAGCCAAAACTGTTTGTCGGGAGCTCCACTGGGTCAATATTCATGGTTGGGGTGCAATAGCCAAGCCTTTGTTCACTCGTGCCAATGCCAAAAGTCGGGTTTCATTAGTGCCAACAGTTAGCCTGGTTAAAACCAGACCATTCTCAGTTGTAACTGAGTTATGGTCTGGCAAAGCGTCATAGACAAATCATTTCCAGACGGGCGTCACCAACGGACGTCGCGGATAGACCTAAACCCAATCAGAGCGATGAAGGAGATGACGTATGCAGAGCGGCGGAAAAAACATCTCCGAGTGTTGTTCTTTGCTCGGTTTTTAACAAAAAGGAAACGTTCAAATCGCTTAAAACAGACGCGATAGCTGATTCGAACAAGTGATGTTCGATGGCGGCATCCATCTTTGTAATGTAGGCTACAAAATCTGCTTCAAAATCCCAGCGCTGTCGTCATCGTGTAAAGCCCGCCCCAACGTTTCTGATTGGTCCCGCGATTTCGGCGGATTGGAAATGAGCTTGAATGAGCTCTTTGCCAGACTAACTTTCAGAGCAAATCTAAATTTGCCAGAAGTTGTCTGGGTTTTCCCAGGCTAGCCAACAGTGCAAATCTTGGGCTGTGGACAATGTGAAACATGTATTGTTCTCTGATGAGTCCACCTTCACTGTCTTTTCCACATCTAGGAGAGTTACGGTGTGGAGAAGTCCCAAAGAGGCTTAACACCCGGAGTGGGGTGGATCAGTGATGGTTTGGGCTGCAATATCATGGCATTCCCTACTGTCACTGCCAAGGACTACTGAACCATTCTGGAGGACCATGTGCACCTAATGGTTTAAACATTGTAAATGTTGGGGGGGTGCCGTGTATCAGCATGATAATGCACCAATACACACAGCAAGACTGGTGAAGGAGTGGTTTGATGAACGTGAAAGTGAAGTTGAACAACTCCCATGGCCTGCACAGTCAGCACATCTAAATATGTTTGAGCCACTTTGGGGTATTTTGGAGGAGCGTGTCAGAAAACGTTTTCCTCAACCAGCATCACATTGTGACCTGGCCACTGTTCTGGAAGAGGAATGGCTCAAAATTCCTTTGGCCACTGTGTAGGACATGTATCTGTCATTTCCAAGACGAACTGATGCTGTTTGGCTTCAAAAAGAGGCCCTATATCATACTAATAAATCACTGTGGTCTAAAACCAGGTGTTTCAGTTTCATTGTCCAACCCCTGTATAAACAACATTAAAAACTTTACGTTCACCACAGGGGGTCTTTAACATTTGTGTTGTTGAAAAACTGATCAATGAATGTAAGGCGAAGCTGTGTTTAAATGTCTGAATATTAAATCATTATGCATTTTTTGGGGGTAATGAAGTTAGCAAGACTTTGACATCACCATTGCATTACAATTAGTATCAGTAGAATTTATATATAAATTATGATTCACCAATGGGTGGATTATAAATATCCCTCATGCCTTTATCAAGTGATATCACTGAAATAGGTGTCCTGAGAAATTATAAATTGTTTCTATAAATCTCACAAATGTCTTTCTCTTTTGAGTGAAGTAGAATCTGAGTGTGAGCTGCAGGTGCTGGCTAATTAGATAACTGAAAAACCTAGAGAAAGCTAACCGTTAACATTCCCATTCTCCATGGCAACTGCTTGGGATCTCGCAGAAGTATGCAAGTAGAATTTGACCAATTATTCTAGAGCTAGAGCCACAGGAAGGCATAGGCTGCATCCAAAATCGCATACTTCTCTTCTATATAGTAGGCGAAAAACAGTATGTGACAAAAGAAGTATGTCCGAATTCACAGTACTCATAAAAGACTAGGCAAAAAGTATCTGGCTCAAATTGTAAAAGTATGCTTGGGAGGGAGTATGGAAATAAATGTTGTGATGTAATTTCCATCAAGAGGTGCATACATTTTTGGTCAAGATCTTGTATTGACAATGCAAGAGTCCAGCACTCTGTAAAGTCTCCTCTAGCACATCCTAAAGACTTTCAATGAAGTTAAGGACTAGACTTAGGGCTCGTTTACACGACAACGATATGCTTAAAACGGAGAAGTTTTTCCTTCGAGTTTTCCGCGTTCAGACATTGTCAAAACGATCCCCATTCACACGGATCCGTGGAAACGACTAAAAATGCTGTGTTCTGCTGCCAGGCCATTATATGGCGATGAAACACTATAGATTGAACACGTAATACGCATGTGCATGACGTCATCGTCTTCAGAGATTCGTGTTTTTGTTGTTTACATGAATACCGTTTTCAAAAACTTGCACTTTGAAACCCGTTTTCAAAAGTTTGCGTTTTCAGGCACCCACAACGCTGTTGTTGAGTAAACGAACGGCCAAAACCCAAAAAAGGTTTTACGTTTTTTACGTTTACGTTTTTGTCTTTTTACGTGTCGTGTAAAACAACCCCTTAGAGGTACCAATTCATGTGTGAAAATGATTATTCATGCTCCTTCCAACCATTCTTTCACAATTTGAGCCTGATGATTCTTGACATTGTCATCCTGGAATATCCTGGAAGTGTATATTCTACAAGATCTACAGGACTACAGCTTGCAAATACAGTACAATTAAACTTTACTGAAAGTCAAATGTTGAGGCAGTTGAGCACAGCAGGTAAAGACGGAGAGTCTGTTAAGCCTGGAACACACCAAGCCGACGCCGACGAACTAGCGCTCAGTTAATGTGACGTAACATAAGATATACACATACCGTTTTGACTTCTTTGCTCGTTGTTTTGCTATTATTCTCGTGCACTGACTAGTTCACTAAGCTGAACAGCCAATCAGAGTTCCCTCTTTCAACGACGGCCCGACGCCGATTCAACATGTCGAATCGGCCGACCGTCGGCTTGGTGTGTTCCAGGCTTTAAGTTGGTGGTTTTGACATTTTGACATGGCAATAGACTTACCTCTCATGATATACAGTTGCCCACTAATGAAGTGTTTTACACAACAAAACAGGCCAACTACAGGACAGGACACAGAAAAAGGAATATGATAGAAAATACAGTGACTAATAAAAAGAGAGCAGTTCAATTTACAAGCAGAACAGAAAAAGGGAAAAACATTAAGACTGCACATGCATGAAACGGGTTTGCTTTTAAAAGGATTATCCAGGTGCATTTCTTACTTGGCAGTTTATCGGTGGCAGAGTTTTTAAAATGGTTGCCCTTAATAACCTCGGCGGACAGTCTCCCTGTGGTGGCGTTGTAAAGGAGACCCAGCAGAAGCTCTGGAGTGGAGGATTCACCAGTTGAGCGGTGCGACAGAGCTCCCGCACTCCGAGAGACGCTCACCACTGATCCACAGCCCTGAAGAACAGTGACATTACAGGATTCCCATTATAAAATGGATTGTTATGACTCTAAAACCTGATTGGCTATGGAAAATGTATCCTGCATGCACACAAACACTGCTTACAGGAACTGAGGTGCCAGGCTCCAGAGTGACAGGAAGAGCGAGCTTGCCCTGCATATTGAGTTTGGTTAAGTAGAACACCTTCTCCCCTAGGACCTTCTCCTTTTTCATGCGCCGCACACTGTAGAGACGAAACCGGACTGCATAGTCCCCCAAGGCCTCCTGCTCCACACATGAGAACCGAAATGTTTCTGTGAAGACGGGACAGGGTCCCTTCTGGACTCCTGTTTTGGCTCTCTGCTTTTTGGTGGGCAGTAAAACCAGGTGGACCTGCCAGGAAATGTTTCCAGTGCTCTTAAGTGTTGGGATATCTGTGGCAGCGGTCACTGTCACCGCAAGCCGTTGTTCACCAGGGTCGTATTCGAAGGCCACATCCAGTGTGCCATATTTCCCCAATGCCTCTGGTTCATATGTTTCTGGAAGGGGTGGGATTAAGCTATCCTGTCAGAGAAAAGGAAAGACGGGGCAGGTTTGATGGGGGAAATGGATGTGCATGTGAAAAAAATGAACAGCTCAAAATTCTTGAGGGTGCCTGTGTTGGTGACATGGCAAGTTACTGTATATAATTTTGTTTATGATCATTTTTCCACTCTCCTGCTTACTCACAGAAATAATTTGCTTTTGCTTTTTTGTAAACATTATGTTTACATCTATGTAAACAATATGTTTATAAATCATTGTGACTGCATATCAACAATCCACACTGCAATGTGCTACTGAAACCATTATGATTGGGCATAAATGATCAGAAATCTTGTTAGGAATGAAAGTTAGCATGGTGGCAAATGCTACACACATCCATGAAAAGTAAAAAGCTAACATAACTTTCCATTTTACTCTTACAATATTAAATTGACGGACCGTTTCTAAACACTGAATAGCAAGCTCAACACGTTTTAGACCCCGTTTACACCTGTATTTAGCGTCGTCAACTTGTCATACGACCGACCAACGCATCCTAATGTACCACCAGCTGTCTTTTTGGACTGGAAGTAAGTTTTGAGTTCTGAGAGTTACTGTATAGAGTACTATAAAACTTTTTCTCCAAAAATCAATCAAGCAGTCTGATCTTTGGAGTAGCCTGAAGTAGTCTGGCTTTACGCACAAGATGTCTATATCTGCATTCAGGCTTTCAGTGTCTCCAATCACAAGCAAACTCAAAGGAAAACTTACCAGATGTGGCCAGAATGAACCAAACCTGCCACAGCCTGAGAATCCATGAACTGTCGTCCTTGCTCCTCATAATTAAAACCATCAGTGATATGACTCATTCATGTGACAATGAAGTGATATTTTAATAAACAGCTGAAAATGTTACTGTTACAATGGTCTCTAAAAGAGAGGACACTAGTTAATGGGAATCCAAACAGACAGAAATGTAAAAAAAAAAAAAAAAAACATGGAGAAATGGATGACAGGGGCCAGTTGCATAAACATAGGCATTATGTTAAAGGTGCTCTAAGCGATGTCACACGTTTTTTAGGCCAACATTTTTTTTTGTCACATACAGCGAACATCTCCTCACTATCCGCTAGCTGCCTGTCCCCTGAACACACTGTAAAAAACCGCGATCTCTGTGGACAGCCCAGGCTCCACAAACAGCAACAAAAACAAACTGGGGCAACCCACTCCACGAAACAAAACAAACAGTGTTCCAGCCAATAACCGACAAGAAGGGTTTGGGGGTGGGGTTAGTGCGCGTACACATGAAGGGGGGTGTGGAGGAGAGAGAAGCATGAAGAGGGAAGTTAGAATTACAACTCTTTAAGTTTGATATGGCCGACACACGACCAAAGAGACGACGTTCCGATGAACAGATTGCAAAAATGCAAAGAAAGGGGGAAAAGAAGAAAGAACGCGTGATTGTCCCAAATTTACATTGGAAAAGCCTTTGAAACATGGCGAGAACTCCGCCGGCAGAAGGGCTTCCAATCCGACATTCAGGTAGCTCTGTTTTTGCTGGACAGGTGGGTAAATCCAGTTTGGTTTTTCTAAATGGACTTTCATGTTCGCCTAACAAACACAAGGATATAATTAGCTAGAACAATGCAGTCAGTGCTAACTTTGGTGAATACAACATATAGGTTTCTAGCAGCTAGCTATCGACCTCTATTGTAAATGATCAAGCAAACTCACAGTAGGGTGACAGTTTGTGTGAATGATTCAACTGTTTGTTATGAATTTGAATGCTCATTCATAGCCTGTTGACAACTTTGACTAAATTTGTTTACGACGGAGCCGTTGTTTATGCTCACTGGGAAACGCGAAGCTAACGTTATCTTGCTATTATTGCGTCCTTGTATGGGAGCTAAAGTTATAACCTCAGGTGGCGAAACGTTTTATCTGGTAATGTTTCTCTTTTTCGGCATTATATGAAAGCATTTATCTAACTTGGCGACATTACACATTGAATGAAGTATCAGTAAAACTACAGGGAGAGGGGGCGGGATGAGGAGGAGTGAGGGTCTAGCTAGCCACCATTTTGTTTGACAATACTTCGAACGTCAACAAGAAGTGACGTCACCCAACATCGCTTAGAGCACCTTTAAGACTGTGTCTTAAGAACTAGGACGCAACTAGCTAGTTAGGGGTAGATTAGGGGTAACTAGTTAGGGGTACTCTGTCTTAATTTATGGTTTCAAATTAGACCAATCTACATTTTTATGTACCTGACTTGATGGTTATGAACAGTCTTGATGACTACCTTGTAAGAATAGTCTTAGCAGTTTATGCAACCGGCCCCAGGTGTCTTAGTTTATCAGTTTGGCATTGCATAAGCATTATCGTAGATGAACACAATATTACTCAAAGAAAAGAAAATGGATTAAAAAAACGAATCTCATGTCAAAAAATAAGGGATTGGTGAAAAAAGTAAAAAAAACATGCAAATATTTGTCACAACATACACTGAAGTGAACAGCTCTCTTGGAGACATAACAACACTGTGTGAGGATTTTGATAGTTTCATTGGTGAATAAGAGCATCGGAGGGTGGGGCCAGGATTCTCATAGAAGAACACATCGGAAACGACGGGACGAGGCGCTCACCTCCGGGCCCAAAACGGCTGTGCTGTCACTGGGTGCGTCCTCCTCATAGCCCTTATTCAGGTAACTCTCTGTGTCCTCAGGGTCTTCACTGCCCTCACTTCCACTGCCCTCTGCTGAATCACTGCGGCCCCTTGAGCCACACTTGAGATCGTCTTTGTCCAGGTATGGTGGAGGCTGGAGTTCATTCAGGGAACTTGAACCTTTTTTCCTTTTAACTGGTTAGTGAGACAGAAATACAAAAATGATTACATCCTGATTGCAGCATAATTAAGATTATTTCATCATTCAGACAGTGTACAATATTTACCCTGCTCAGCTGAGGCTTCACTGCTGCAGTCCTCGTTTTCAGCATCCCTGTTTTTCCACCCACTTCTATGCTGGTGAGAGGACGAGTCTTTGTGTTTTTTTGGTGTTTCGTCCCCACTCTCAGATGATCCTTTATCTGGACAACCCCCGTCTAAGAAAGAACAGAGAACTTTATCTACAGTCAAAATACCCTACTGTAAACGTTTTTGCAGATCAGTGGTATGCAAAAGCAGAGAGTCATTGTTAATTTCTCACCCTCTTGTAATTTATAACCCATCCCCATGTTACAAACAAAACTATTGGCACCAAACACAAAAGTAACGATTGTTTCCAAACAGGTTTCCCTCCTACTCCACACCCCAAGTGCACTTCCATTGTTTGAAGAAACAGGTAGTCCTGCCACAAAACTGACACCACTTTTTAAGCTAGAAGATGACAACCAATAAATGGCTCATTTAAAGTCATTGTCAATTTGGTATATGAAAGTATTTTACAGTGAACATATTACACTCTTCATCTATAAAAAGGAAAACATCAGTAAAGGGAGGGCCATCACTAAAATTCACAAGGCCTGGGACATCATTTTAATGGGTGCGTCTCACTCAGCTCCCTAGTTCAGTAGTTCAGTAGGGCACTGATCAGGGAGTCGGCCATTATAAGGGCTATCTCAATCGCAAAATCCTTCCAGTGCACTGGAACGTTCGCTCCCTAAAAAAAATCCCATAATGTACTGCAAAAATCAAGGAGCATCGATGCTCCCTTACCGGAAATTAGGTCACATTACTGAAGCGTGAGCATAAAATGTTCTACAACGTTGTACGTTGATGTTGTCTGTAATCATGTCGCTGGAAATTGAGTAATAATGTGTGGTGAATGTGTGGTGAACCAGGGTCCTTATCAGTGCCCGGATTCCTGTACACGATATACTGATTCACAAACTCGGGAGCTGATTGAGACGCACCATATGAGTTCAGTTCCAAGCCTGCATCAACACACATATTTGCTGGTTCAGGTGTATTTCATTAATGCCCGGTACACATTGTACGGTTTTGGGCTATCCCAGAGGGAAGATGACCAATCGTGGCGATTTCTGTGGTTTTGGCTCCTACGTCGTACAGTGAGAGAGGTTCAAAGCCGGCTGTTGTCACAGTCTTGTGACCAAAGATAGCCTGCGATAATTTTCTGATCAAAATTGACGTGTTTTGGGCATAACGTGCAATAAACCAATCAGAGTCTCATCTCCCATTCCCTTTAAAAGCCAGTTGCTCGCGCACCATGGCGGATTGCTATTTACATGGCGGAATTTGCAAGCGGAAAGACTGCACGCTTCTCTAGAGAGGAAAAAAAAGGTTAAGGTTTCGCGAGGTTAAAGCACACAAGCAGACCGTCTACGGGACAAACCGGATTCTACCATATCTTTATGTACACAATAATAATCTTTTACATGGTAATCCTTTTATTTTTAATATTTGGCATGTTTGTGTGCTGCTGAGTGTGAGTAATAAGCTTTGTGTGCCTTGAGTGTGTAATAAGCAGAGTGTACGCGCGTTGTGCATCCGCCTATAGGCGCATATTACTAATGCGCCCTTTAAATAACAAAGAAAAATACTGCGCCATTGACTTTAGACCAGGTTTCAGTTTTGTCAATTTCAGTTGCCTCAAAATAGCAACGCGCCAACCACGAGCCTGAACACACCTCGTTTTCAGACCAGCAGCCCATGGGCGCAAATGCATTTGCTATTTAAACAACGTGGCTCAGGACGTGAAAATGATAACTGCGTCAAGCTGAAACTACCAAAAAACACTTGCGTCACGCCTGGCGCCGCATTGCGCCGGATGTATGATATAGGGCCCATCTCTTCAATATGTGTCATCATCATAGTCTACATACATGTCATACCCAAGTTTATTAGATCCATGTCATACAGTGTGATTTGTAATGTTCTTATAGGATTGCCGAAATTGCACAGTCTGTAGCACGCATAAGATTGTAGGTCAAATTTTCAGGAAGGTAGATCTCCAGGTACAAGATTGATCACCCGTGGACTAGGCCAGTGGTTTTCAATCCTGGTCCTGGAGACCCAAAGCTCTGCACATTTTGTCTCTCTAATCAAACACACCTGAACCAACTCATTAGATGATTAGTAGAGACTCCACGACTTGAAATAAATGGCTGCGTTCGAAATCGCATATTTCTTGAGTAGGTGCTTATTTTGAATACATGTAATCCGGACATTCTACATTCACCATGCTGTCATTTTCATGTGACCTTCCAGCATCAGTTGCGCCACTTCACTGCCATTGACAAATCCTCTTCCGTGGCTCATGGGATAGTAAAGTGTCCATCGTATGCGCACTTCAGAATCTCGCCATAAGCAGTAGGTCATCCGGGTACTTTTTGCCTACTCTTTTATGAGTACTGTGAATTCGGACATACTTCTTTTGTCACATACTGTTTTTCGCCTAGTAGTAGGGATGTATGCGATTTCGGATGCAGCCAGTGTGTCAGAAAAGGGTGGCATCCAAAATGTGTACTGTTGGGAGCATTCTGGGTCCAGGGTTTGGGACCACTGCAATAGTCTCTAGTGGGCCACCCTGGCCACGAGACAATTTTCCAGGTTGTCCTCCCCTTGTGACAGCCCAGGGCTGCTTCTCAAAAGCATTGTGAGCTAAATTAATTGCAGAGACCATTGGTGCCAATGGTTCAACAATCTACTTTAGCATACAATGCTTTTGAGAAACACAGTCCTCGTCAGGAGTAAAACAGAAAATATTATGAAGAGAAAGGTTTTAAAACCTATAAAACACTATCCATTTTTATGTGTCAATCAAGGGGTGCAATAAGAAAGCCAAAGAGAACCAGTGATACAGAACCAGAAGAGCACAGCAGCACAGCAAGTCCAGCATACAGTCTCACCTCTACCATCTTTGTCCTTCTTTGCCTTTGAGCTCTTGGACTTTGAGTCCTGAGTGCCCTCCTCCTGTTCTTCATCACTATAAACTTGTCCTTTCTTCTTTTGTTTTGATGTCTTACCTTCTTCACACGATGCTTTGTCTTCATCTTCTTCATTTCCATCTTTTCGTCTGCCTTTAGATCGTGTCGTTTTCTCACATCTTTCAGAACTATCATCTTCCTCAAGACTATTGTGCTCTCCATTCTTTTCATACTTTGATGCTGATGTAACAGGATCACCAGACAAGTCCTGTTCTTCCAGACTATCATATGGGTGCATCCCATTAGCATTTTCATTGTGGTTGTCACCTTCATTTTTGTGTTTGCTGGACAAGGAGGCACTTTCTTCCTGAGAGGCAGACTCTACCTTTTGTGACGCCTGGTCACTGTTCCCTGTCTGGTTGTCTGTACTCTGAGATGAGCTTTGTGGCTGGTTTGGGTCCCTCCTTTTACGATACCATCCTTTAGCAGGGGCGTAACACCACTCCCACTCATCATCCTCAGCTTTTCTTGCTTCCTCTTGTCTTTTTTTCTCTCTCTGGATTTCCTCTTCATCTATTTCAATAGTCCACATAGAGTTCTTTTTTGATTTCCGGCTCTTTCGACCTTCCCCATCAATGTCTGCAGCATTAGCTTCTGTCTCCTGCCGCTTCAGCTTGCTGTTTCTCTTGTCCTTTTGGACTTCGTCAGTAGACCCTTCAGCCTCATTTTCATCCTCTTCAGTCTGTACTTTATTGATGATTGTATTGACCTGCTCTGTTAGTTGGTCACTGACAGTATAGGTGACGTCACTCACTGCAGAGGACAAATCGTCCACAGCAGTCGAGACAGTGTTTGAGACAGAGTCCAGAAGGGAACTGACGGAAGGGAGACTCTGTTGAAAGTTCTTGAAAAATGCCATTGCTTTGTGCCTTTGGTATGTGTCTGCTAACTGACCGCAAATTCTGTTGAAGAGTCAGCTTGTACATTAATCTTCAGGATTTTTCATCAGTAACATTTTGTCTGTAAGCATCTCATATTTAAGGAACAAGGCTAAACAGGACAAACAGGTGTTTTAAAACCTAGTGAGCTAACTTGATATAGGCTGCCTATGGCCAACCTGCTCACAGATCTATTTGCTTTCAATACTTTTGAAAATTAGAAATAATTTTAATTGTAAATAATTTTAAATGGACCTTGATGGTTATAAATGCTAGAAAGACTGCTCATTTAACCCCAAAAAAGTCATTTTGGAGATGATTTTATTTCCCCCGAAAATGCTAGTTAACGTTATCGCATTAGACTAAAACTTACTGACTTTGCTCGCCCAGTGAATAACTACTTCTACAAACATTTTTGGGAATTTTTTTCAATTTTTGTTCCCGCCCCTCCCCCAAATTTGGTGTTCCTGGTCAAAAATGATGACTACAAAAATTACTTATAAATCTCTCATTACTCTATATTATCACACACCAATTATTGGATTTAATCTTTTTTTCAACTTGTTTTCTTTCAATATGCTTTATGCACTGCTTCACTGCTTCCTGAACTTCAGCCAGCTCCTTTGTTTCCTGTCTGCCATTATTGGACAAACTGATTAATCCAGGTGTGCCTGATTATTGTTACTGAGGCCAGGCACACCTGGATTAGTCAGTTTGTCCAATAATGGAAGACAGGAAACAAAGGAGCTGGCTGAATTTCAGGAAGTGCTGCAGCTGTGCATAAAGCCAATTAGCACAGGTTTTGTATTTCTTTTTTGATCTGATTGATCGTAGGCCTCCTTTATCTGAGTTTAGGACCTCAATGTTTGGCAATATTGAATACAATTTAAAACATATTCTGTACAATTTATCACGCTAGTGTGCTTTAATGTTTAACCAGGAAGTTTGTTTTGAAATGCTTTTATCTTGTACAAAATTGCACAAAGTCACACTTGTGGTGTTCCAGGTCAAAAATGACCAGCCTGCAAAAAAAATTGCTTACTGTATAAATCTCACATTACTCTATATTATGACCAAATGTTGGATTCAATCTTTTTGTCAACTTTTTTTTTTTCAATTACCACAGGTTTTGTATTTATTTTTAAAGTATATTTAAGTATACCCAGGCCTTCAGATTTGATACACACCCATATATATAACTGAACAGTGAAAAACATTGAAAACTCTCCAAATATTTACCTTGCAAGTCCTTGTTAAAACCCTCAAAATGTGGCAAATCACTGCTTGGGCTCTCCACTGACAGCTTGCTGCTGAGGTAAAGAAAAAACAGAGCGATCACGGCCATGAAGAAAGCAATGGAGGACAGGACACCTAGCAGTTCAGGAGATACTAAAGGAAAAAAGAGAAACAGAGAAAGAGAAAGCATAGGGTTGGAGGACAAAAGCTGAGAAAGTAAAGGTCAAGAGCTGAGAACTTGATCTACCAAGATAACAGATAAGCAATGTAGATGGTGATGGATGCTACTGTGATGACAGGGCAACAAACCTTGGTATAATTTCCTTAAAGGAAAAGTTACATTCTCAATGTCAATATGGGACAAATCACACTGCCACTGCTCGATTACCATTATTTTTATTCACATGGACAGATGACAAGACATAAGCCTTTTAGAGATGTTTACTAAACTTTCAGACACGTTTTCTAAAAATTGCATTAGATCAATGAGAGAAAGTTTTAAACAACCATTAAACCTGTACAACTGCAACTCACTTATAAGTTATACACAAGTCACTCTTTACAAGTGCAGAGTATAGACCAAAAAAAAAAAATGTGGGGACCAAAAGTTATGAACACATTACTTCTATTTTGCAAGATAATAATATTTGAATATAAACCTTTAGTGAACCTCCTATTTAGAGTAGAAACCTGAGAGTAAAGCACGGACTTCCTCTGCTTTTTCAACAGACCATGAAATACATAAGACGCAATTTAAAACTAATAGTGCATTACGATCAGCAACACTGTAAAAGCACTAAACACTCCAGCAAATATTACCACAATTTGCAGGTAGCAGGAGTCCATCAATGTGTCTTAAATCCAATTATCCCGTTGTTCAGTCTGCTCCTTATTCCTCATAGATCAGTTAAGCCATGATATTTAAAAGGTTTTGCCTTCTATCCCTTACAGTGAGTGAATCTATAGCTCCTGTCTTCAATCTATCTCTCCCAGTGCTGAATAATTCACTAGTCTAAGGTAATCGGATGCCCCTTGACACTTTGTGCACACAATACTATTGGACCTTCCATTGGAACCTACCCTACATTAAAAGAAACTGGAACTGGATTGACAGGGATATAAGTGGCAAAACATGTCCTTATGCTAATTGAACCAGATAGACTATGATTTAAATATAATTTGAAACACCACCAAGTTCAGATTATAAAGCAGTGTTTGTAGTGCATAGCATTTAGAATAGCACTGAATGGCATTTTATGCTGTACATGTCAAGAACAAATATCTTTGTACATGTACTTAACAGTATACTCAGATCTGTGAGTTACCCCATTTGTGACAATGCAAGCAAATGCAGTTTTGCTAATCCAAATGAACTCAAATCCCATAAGGCAAAGATGTTTTACATTTCACCCTTAATCTTTCACAGTTGCCAACTCTTATGTAACAGAATCTTCCTCTTTCCTCTGAGGCAGTTATAGACAGAGATAAAGACATGATTATTTAAATATCAGGGACTAAGTAGAAATTGTGTTGTTTACACATAAGTCTTCCGGCTCGTAACATAATCCTTTGCCATGAATTAATAACGACGCTTGTTTTTGTTCACCAAACTCGATAGGTCATTCATAATTGATAGAAGTATGGGACAAGGGAGGTGAAGGGGTACAAATTATTTACTTATATTTTATCTATTTAAAAGTATAAAGCACTACAAGTCAGGCACAGTTGGTGCATGTTATCATCGAACAGGAAGATGCTCTCACCTCGTCTAGCGCAGATGAGTTCATGAACACCACAGCTCCGCCCCCCACCTGAGGACAGGATACAGCTCTTTTAAGATAGCACTTTTGATAGAGAAAAAGCCTACTGACTCTTTGACGTCATAGCAATATATTTATGTCACTGACTTTACAATTTATATTCTACATGCACACTGCAGAGACACCATTCAAAATAAGTAGCTGTTAAAAATGTTGCCGTGACATTTTGATTAATGAAGATGCATATCTCACTTACTTACACACACACTCTCTCTCTCTCTCTCTCTCTCTCTCTCTCTCTCTCTCTCTCTCTCTCTCTCTCTCTCTCTCTCTCTCTCTCTCTCTCTCTCTCTCTCTCTCTCTCTCTCGAAGGAGCTTCATTTTGTACACAGTGGGCTGTACTACACCTTTCTGGCTCAAGCTATTCCATTTTCTTTCCATTAATATTGTCACATACTATTCTTAAAGCAATAGTTCACCCAAAAATGAATCACTGAATCAAAATGTTTTTTTTCTTCTGATCATTTAATCGCCCTCATGTTGTTCTAAACCCACATGACTTTGTTATTTCTTTGAAAACACAAAAAAAGTAAAATTTTTGAAGAATGCCATTGTCTGTCTTTTCAATGCAATGAAAATGAACGGTGACTGAACGTTGTAGGCCTACATAAAGTGTTAATGTGCAATTGATACCTTAAACAGCTATATCTACTTGATTAAACTTTGTTTTGTTGGTATACATTTTAATTCAGTGATGTTAAATAATACATTTGATTGGAATAAAATCAGTTAATTTTTGGGTTACCATTTTTTTCTTCCAGTGCAGATTCGAGAATGGATCATTCAGATTGGTTTTGTTAATTTTATTAACTGATTCATTGCAAACATCTTCCTCAGACATATTGCGAATTCATGAGAGAACCACCAATGAGAGTATTAATCTGTAAGTGTTGTTACTGTTACCCAAAACTAAAGCAATTAAAACGCGTTTTCATTAATTGAATAAAATAAAATATAACAATTAGATCAAAACAAACAAAAGTTAAGAATACAAATAAAAATAAGTAATTAAATTGTTAAAACATTTATTTTGTGTTCGTTCGAAGAAATAGTCAGACAGGACAACATGAGTGGCAGTGACTGGATATTTTTAAAGGCAATTTTGCTTTACTGCTAGTTTCTTTACTTCATACTCTCAGACATTTCCACTTCTAATTTTCAAGTGTAAGTTATTTGGTGTCTAGAGATTTTTTTTAATTAGTTTTATTTTATCTGACCATGTAGGCTAAGTTATTGTCCCCATCCATTCAAAAAACACTAAATACAAAGAGGGGGGGGGAATATAAAATAAAGCTATTATATTATTATTTATATACAATTATTATGCCAACATCCTTCAGGTATTTTTTTTATTACACATTTTTCTTGTTTACTAATATGTCAAAACTCACAGAAGAGTACAATGTATCAGTAAGTAAGCCATCTTGTAGCACTACTAATCTAACTTTACGTGGCCACCTGGCTGGTCAAAGACATGAACAACACAACAGATGGAGACCTCGCTCACATGCTGTTATAAACACTGTAGCTTTATAACGCGACGACATCATAACGAAAAAACTAACAGACTAAAAATTAAGCACGCTATAGCCTAAATGAAGACTTTAACCACTTCATTAAAACACGTTATTGTGTTCTACCCTTTAGCTGTTATTTCAGAAGCGCTTACGTTACTCCATATGTCTGTCCGCAATGGTGCAGTAGCACATAACCAGCTATGGCCACGTCAAAACACATTTAAACTTACACTTAAAAAATAAAATCGCTTACGTTTAACATTCCTATAAACGTCTCGCGCAAAGTACGTTCAGACTGACAGACTGTTACATGTTGTTAGCCATAAAGATCACGGTGTACTCTAGCCACGCTGGTCAGTGATGATACTCACCCTCAAACGCCATGATGCTGTGAATGGGACGTGATGAGGGGTGGTTTAGAGATGTGAGAGGAGGAGAGGAGAGAATCAGTGACAGTGTACTGGGACAGTGATGCATGCTGCAGCACGCGTGACACAAACACACACTGTAAAAAGTGCCAACGTGCAATTTTAATCATAAAAATTTTAACCCTTAAAATTGCTATCCCGAATTTCATCAAGGTTTGGATTCATTAGCTGTATGAGAGGTAGTTCAGGAAATGTATTATGTGAATGTGCCATGTAGGCTCACTTGTCGAAATGTATGGTTTAATGAAAAATACAATGGTTCATAATACATTGGTAAACACACTTATAGTTTTAGATACATCGGTTTGTTCAAGTAGCCTATGGGTTTGTTCATTTATACAACAGTTTGTTCAAATAGGTATAAGTATAGTTAAAGTACAGTCTGTTCAAGTATAAACAACATTAGTTTCCTCAAGTATGCAATGGTTTCCTCAAGTCAAGTACATATTGTTTCATATTGTTTCATATAGTTTGTTCAAGTATATATCTGTTTGTTCAACTAAATATTTGTTTAGATACACCGGTTTGCTCAAGTATTTATTGGTTTGTTTGAGTATATATATATATATTTTTTCAAGAATACATTCACATTGTTTTGTTCAAGTATATTGGTTTCTTAATTAAGTAGGCTATATATTGGTGTCTTCAAGTATTGGTTTGATCAGTAAACATTGTATATTGTTTTTTTTTTTTTTTTTTTATTGGTTAAAAAAAATTGTGTTATCAAGTATGATTTTTTTATTTATACATTGTAGTTGTAAAACTTGCCTAAATGCCATGGACAGATATAGGTGAACACTTTACGTGATAGTTACAGTCATGATTAGTTATTGTCACGATAGGTTGCAGAAAGACACACAACGATGAAGAATCAGATTCAAAGCAGCCTTTAATGGTATCCATAGGTAACTTGACACAAAGGCAGGCAAGGAAACACAATCGTAGCGTCAACGAGACCGGACAATTCACAAGGCCTTAAATACAAGGAACAAACAAAGGGGACAAATTAGGACACACCTGAACAGAATGACTAATCAAATGAGTAACCATAGAAACTAATAACGACCTCAGGCAGGAAGGAAAACAGCAATGACATAAAACAAACTCAAACAGAACATAACTGACAGTATGCCCCCTCCCAGTGTTGAAGGAGGGAGGAGATATGGTGGGGATTTCCTTGATGAGGGCATGGGGATGACTGATGGTGACAGAGCCAATGGTGGTGGAGACCTAGGTGCAGACGGAGAGCCGATGGTGGTGGAGCCTTAGGTGCAGACGGAGAGCTGATGGTGGTGGAGCCTTAGGTGCAGACGGAGAGCCGAACCCTAGGTGCAGACGGAGAGCCGAACCCTAGGTGCAGACTGACAGCCGATGGTGGTGGAGCCCTAGGTGCAGACGGAGAGCCGATGGTGGTGGAGCCTTAGGTGCAGACGGAGAGCTGAACCCTAGGTGCAGACGGAGAGCCGATGGTGGTGGAACCCTAGGTGCAGACGGAGAGCCGATGGTGGTGGAACCCTAGGTGCAGACGGAGAGCCGATGGTGGTGGAGCCTTAGGTGCAGACGGAGAGCCGAAGCCTAGGTGCAGACGGAGAGCCGAACCCTAGGTGCAGACGGAGAGCCGAACCCTAGGTGCAGACGGAGAGCCGATGGTGGTGGAACCCTAGGTGCAGACGGAGAGCCGATGGTGGTGGAGCCCTAGGTGCAGACGGACAGCCGATGGTGGTGGAGCCCTAGGTGCAGACGGAGAGCCGATGGTGGTGGAGCCTTAGGTGCAGACGGAGAGCCGAAGCCTAGGTGCAGACGGAGAGCCGAAGCGTAGGTGCAGACGGACAGCCGATGGTGGTGGAACCCTAGGTGCAGACGGAGAGCCGATGGTGGTGGAGCCTTAGGTGTAGACGGAGAGCCGAACCCTAGGTGCAGACGGAGAGCCGAACCCTAGGTGCTGACGGAGAGCCGAACCCTAGGTGCAGACGGAGAGCCGATGGTGGTGGAACCCTAGGTGCAGACGGACAGCCGATGGTGGTGGAGCCCTAGGTGCAGACGGAGAGCCGATGGTGGTGGAGCCTTAGGTGCAGACGGAGAGCCGAAGCGTAGGTGCAGACGGACAGCCGATGGTGGTGGAACCCTAGGTGCAGACGGAGAGCCGATGGTGGTGGAGCCTTAGGTGTAGACGGAGAGCCGAACCCTAGGTGCAGACGGAGAGCCGATGGTGGTGAAGCCTTAGGTGCAGACGGAGAGCCGAAGCCTAGGTGCAGACGGAGACCCGAACCCTAGGTGCAGACGGAGAGCCGATGGTGGTGGAACCCTAGGTGCAGACGGAGAGCCGATGGTGGTGGAGCCCTAGGTGCAGACGGAGAGCCGATGGTGGTGGAGCCCTAGGTGCAGATGGAGAGCCGATGGTGGTGGAACTCTAGGTGCAGACGGAGAGCCGATGGTGGTGGAGCCCTAGGTGCAGACGGAGAGCCGATAGTGGTGGAGCCCTAGGTGCAGATGGAGAGCCGATGGTGGTGGAGCCCTAGGTGCAGACGGAGAGCCGATGGTGGTGGAGCCCTAGGTGCAGACAGACAGCCGATGGTGGTGGAACTCTAGGTGCAGACGGAGAGCCGATGGTGGTGGAGCCCTAGGTGCAGACGGACAGCCGATGGTGGTGGAGCCCTAGGTGCAGACGGAGAGCCGATGGTGGTGGAGCCCTAGGTGCAGACGGACAGCCGATGGTGGTGGAACCCTAGGTGCAGACTGACAGCCGATAGTGGTGGAGCCCTAGGTGCAGACTGACAGCCGATGGTGGTGGAGCCCTAGGTGCAGACGGAGAGCCGATGGTGGTGGAGCCCTAGGTGCAGACGGAGAGCCGAAGCCTAGGTGCAAACGGAGAGCCGGTGGTGGTGAAGCCCTAGATGCAGACGGAGAGCCGAACCCTAGGTGCAGACTGACAGCCGATGGTGGTGGAGCCCTAGGTGCAGACGGAGAGCCGATGGTGGTGGAGCCTTAGGTGCAGACGGAGAGCCGAACCCTAGGTGCAGACGGAGAGCCGATGGTGGTGGAACCCTAGGTGCAGACGGAGAGCCGATGGTGGTGGAACCCTAGGTGCAGACGGAGAGCCGATGGTGGTGGAGCCTTAGGTGCAGACGGAGAGCCGAAGCCTAGGTGCAGACGGAGAGCCAAACCCTAGGTGCAGACGGAGAGCCGAACCCTAGGTGCAGACGGAGAGCCGATGGTGGTGGAACCCTAGGTGCAGACGGAGAGCCGATGGTGGTGGAGCCCTAGGTGCAGACGGAGAGCCGAACCCTAGGTGCAGACGGAGAGCCGATGGTGGTGGAACCCTAGGTGCAGACTGACAGCCGATGGTGGTGGAGCCCTAGGTGCAGACGGAGAGCCGATGGTGGTGGAGCCTTAGGTGCAGACGGAGAGCCGAAGCCTAGGTGCAGACGGAGAGCCGATGGTGGTGGAGCCCTAGGTGCAGACGGAGAGCCGAAGCCTAGGTGCAGACGGAGAGCCGAAGCCTAGGTGCAGACGGAGAGCCGAAGCCTAGGTGCAGACGGAGAGCCGAAGCCTAGGTGCAGACGGAGAGCCGAAGCCTAGGTGCAGACGGAGAGCCGATGGTGGTGGAACCCAAGGTGCAGACGGACAGCCGATGGTGGTGGAACCCTAGGTGCAGACGGAGAGCCGATGGTAGTGGAGTCCTAGGTGCAGACGGAGAGCCGAAGCCTAGGTGCAGACGGAGAGCCGAAGCCTAGGTGCAGACGGAGAGCCGATGGTGGTGGAACCCTAGGTGCAGACGGAGAGCCGATGGTGGTGGAGCCCTAGGTGCAGATGGAGAGCCGATGGTGGTGGAGCCCTAGGTGCAGACGGAGAGCCGATGGTGGTGAAGCCTTAGGTGCAGACGGAGAGCCGAAGCCTAGGTGCAGACGGAGACCCGAACCCTAGGTGCAGACGGAGAGCCGATGGTGGTGGAGCCCTAGGTGCAGACGGAGAGCCGATGGTGGGTGAGCCCTAGGTGCAGACGGAGAGCCGATGGTGGTGGAGCCCTAGGTGCAGACGGAGAGCCGATGGTGGGTGAGCCCTAGGTGCAGACCGAGAGCCGATGGTGGTGGAGCCCTAGGTGCAGACGGAGAGCCGATGGTGGTGAAGCCTTAGGTGCAGACGGAGAGCCGAAGCCTAGGTGCAGACGGAGACCCGAACCCTAGGTGCAGACGGAGAGCCGATGGTGGTGGAGCCCTAGGTGCAGACGGAGAGCCGATGATGGTGGAGCCCTAGGTGCAGATGGAGAGCCGATGGTGGTGGAGCCCTAGGTGCAGACGGAGAGCCGATGGTGGTGGAGCCCTAGGTGCAGACGGACAGCCGATGGTGGTGGAACCCTAGGTGCAGACGGAGAGCCGATGGTGGTGGAGCCCTAGGTGCAGACGGACAGCCGATGGTGGTGGAGCCCTAGGTGGAGACGGAGAGCCGATGGTGGTGGAGCCCTAGGTGCAGACGGACAGCCGATGGTGGTGGAACCCTAGGTGCAGACTGACAGCCGATAGTGGTGGAGCCCTAGGTGCAGACTGACAGCCGATGGTGGTGGAGCCCTAGGTGCAGACGGAGAGCCGATGGTGGTGGAACCCTAGGTGCAGACGGAGAGCCGAAGCCTAGGTGCAGACGGAGAGCCGGTGGTGGTGGAGCCCTAGATGCAGACGGAGAGCCGAAGCCTAGGTGCAGATGGAGAGCCGATGGTGGTGGAGCCCTAGGTGCAGACGGAGAGCCAATGGTGGTGGAGCCCTAGGTGCAGACGGAGAGCCGATGGTGGTGGAGCCCTAGGTGCAGACGGAGAGCCGAAGCCTAGGTGAAGACGGAGAGCCGAATTATCACACCCTATATCTTCAGTGTGAAGATGGTGACTTTAAGCACTACAATTATTAAATTGTATCGTCAGTTACATACTGAACAGACATTTATCAGTTTTATTAAGTGTTTAAAATATTGAAAATCAAAGTGTTAATAAAACTTTATTTGCAGTTTTACCACACTTGTGTAGTAGTGTGTCCCAACAGGTAATCAAAAGTTCCACACACACACACTTATGGTCTTTCAGCACACTTGAACTCTTAGGCAAAATACAGGAAATACGTCATGTAGACAAGTGGTCAAGTGCAAAGACCACACGTTTGGGTATTGGGACAGACCCTGAGTCTGCTCTAAGCACCACATTCTTAAAAATAAGGGCTCCAAAAGGTTTTTTTTTTTTTTTAGAATGCTATAGAATAACAATTTTTGGTTCCCCAGAGAACCTTTCAGTGAACGGTTCTTAAAATAACCTTTTTTTTTTCTTAGAGTGAAGACCAAAAATCATCTAAAGAATCATAAAGAACCTTTTGAGAATATTTGAGTTCCATTGATTTTAAAGGTTCTTCATGGAACAATATGCCAATAAAGAACCTTTATTTCTGAGTAATTGTAACATTCAACAAAAATGTGTGGTCAAAGTTTAAAACACATTATTATATTATATTACATTATATTATATTATATTATATTATATTATATTATATTATATTATATTATATTATATTATATTATATTATATTATATTATATATGCCCAAACACACAGTATCACAGAAAAATGTGAAGCTGACCTATATTTTTAAAATATTTTTACAGGAGTTAAAACTGTGGCATGGTCTTGGATGGAACGCATATTTGTTCACAGTGAATACAAATGCCGGCTGTGAGTGAAAGCACCAAACGTCCTGCGTCAAAAGGGAACTCCTCCTCCTCAGCATCAAACCCCCTTACATTTCCTCGATATCTGACATTCATAGGCTACAGCCCTGACTCAACATAGGAAGTTCAGCAAGCACACTAACATTATCAGCAGACCTGTTAATACGAAACAATGAGCGAAATAAAACCAACAGTAGCGACTTCCACGGATAAAAAGGAAGCTACAGCAGAGGAAAAAGACTGGGCAGCTGCTAAAGCTCACTTTGAAAGCTTGAAATCAACGAAACCGCGACCCGTGAGTATTCTGTCAAGATCAACAAGGCGTTATGTTAGGATTGGGTGCCGCTAACACTGTTTTTGGATGTGTCTTTTAACAGCCCAAGCCGAAACATGCAGTAACTATCGCAGTTTCTTCTCGGACATTGTTTGATATGGTCGCGGAAAGGAAGATATACGAGGAAGAAGGAGTTGAGAAGTATGTTCAACATCAACAAGAGCACGAGAGCGAGCCACTGAAGCCAGGAGTTGCTTTTCCTTTCGTTAAAGTGAGAATAACACTTCAACATTATAACAGCATCCAGATATTTTTTTTAAATTTGTTTACTTAGCCACCTTACCAACTTTTACTTACTTATACTACTATAAAAACTATCTGGCACACCCTGTCACACCCCCTACAATCCTTATTTTACAGTTTCGCATGAACATACTATATTTATTGTAGTATGACACTGGGTAATAATATTAGTAACCCTGAACCCTAAACCTTAATTCCCACGTAGGCTAGTTACCTTACATTAGCCTACTTAGTACTTTTGTGAGTAAGGTCACTGTTATAAGTACATTGAATGTCCACGTACTGTAAAATAAAGTGCAACCCTCTACACTGGAAGTGAACCTAGGCCCTGTCCCAAATGGCGCACTTCATGCGGACTTTCGGTCACGTGGACTTAAATTGCGCGTGCTCGCCGAGTCTATGAGTCCGTAGGCTGTCCCATTTAGCATTTTAACACTTTGAAGTGTGCTCAGCAGCGCCCCCTTTGTACCCTTGAAGCGGTCTTCCGCGAAGCCCGCATAGATGCAGGCTCCACGCACTTTAACTACCCAGGAATCCTTGCGAAAGGCCAATCAGACAACGGATGGGAGGAGATTTCGCTCACGGACAATTGTTAACATGGCTGAGAAGAAAATATTTAAGTGTAATTATCATTATGGTTTTTATGACAAGTTTATACAAACATTATGATCATCGACCAGTGGTTGATGTCTCAAACATAGGCTAATAATAGCGAGCTGAATAATACGATCGTATTATGATTCATTAAATAAATAGAACAGAATGTCAGGGCTTTACTGAGTCATATGTAAACACAACAACAATAGGCAGCATATTTCCCCGAACCTGTAGCTCCTGTCCATAACAACAATCAGACCGTCTTCCTGTTTCCGGCGTGACGATCGAGTCTGTCCCAAAAATACCTATCAATGCGCCCTCGCGCTAAGGGCCCTATAGGTCTGCACTACATGACGTCACCGAAGTGTGGACTCTGAGGAAGTCCACAAGTCCGGAGTGTGCCATTTGGGGCAGGGCCCTAGAACGCTCGATGTCCGATTGGAGAATGCTTGTTCTTTTGAATCAGATCTTTAATCGGATCTTTAATGACTCGATTGCTTCTGTCCAAAAACTCGTTCTGAACGATCACTTTACGGCGCGGACCCAGTCCGAGCAGTTCTCGACCCAAACGCTTATCGACTCATCGAATTGAGAACCTTTTGGACATGTCCCATCTAAAAGCATTAAAAGCATTTATCAAGGTTTTGCCTGATAGGGTAAAAATTAAGTTGCTTTAATATCTGAATAGCAGAAATGTTACAAATACTGGAAAATATTTATGTAAACTTATGTGCAGTACACATTAGTTCATTTTTGTAAGTTAAAAAGTTAAAAATTATATATTTATGTTCTAAATGACATTTTAGTGAGCTGAATCGTGACTGGAACAGGGGACACAACGGGGACAAAAAAAAATTACAATGAATGAACACGCCCTTTTTTAAACTCAATAAAAAGCAACATGTGCAAACATATTTCTTTAGTGGAACATTCCGAGCATGTGGGTGTTGTGATGATGTAAATGTCATGACATAAAAGAATCACTGAATCACTGCTTCTTTGAAATGAACTGATTCGCAGAAGTCCCACCATTAGAACAATCCAATTATAATCAGGGAAGCTGTCCATACTGCAAGTGCACAAGTTATAATAGAAACTTTCTATTTACAATAATATAGGCCTGATTTTATGTTGTGTTTTGTTTGGCCAGCAGTCGTCAGTGAGGGGCTGCTGGTTTATACTTTCGTTTTGTATTTGTTTTATTTTATTAAAGTCTGTTGAATGTTCGCCGGTTCCCGCCTCCTCCTTCCCGGGTTTCGGCACCAGTGTAACGCGGTTCAGTTGTTATGGGAAGAAGGAGGCGGGAACCGGCAACGTTCAACAATATTTAATAACATAAAATAAAACAAATACAAAACAAAAGTAAAAGACAGCAGCCCCTCGCGGACGACGGCTGTCACATATAATAAAACAAAACACAACATAAGTTCAGGCCTGTCCTCTCTCGATCTATCGTCGCTCCTCCTTTTAAGCATCCGCTCCTCCGTGAGAGATACGAGACCGGTGCGTCGCGCAGGTGTCGCACATCAGAAATCCCGCCACCGGCCTCGCTCCGCTCTCCCACGGCCCTCGGCCTCGTCCTGCACGCCACAACAACCACCTAACCAATTCTTTCTTTCCAAGAAAATGAATTTATAACCAGATTAAAGGAGCTCATATATTGAACCAATTTAGGTTAGAAATGTCAAGACGGTCACCAACAGTAATGCTTAGAGTTAAAGGTAGGGTAAGCAAATTCGGAGCGGCTAGCAATAGCTAGCTTTAAAAGCATTAGATCCCACCCTCCCTTCAGAGCGTCTCCAAAGCCACGCCTCCTTCAAAACACATGAACACACACAGCGAGAGCAGATTCAACAAAGCGTCATAAGAGACGGCGTTAAATTACCTCATGTCTCAAAGAAGCACAAAACATTGCAATAACGAACGTAAACAACTTACAAAGCTCTGACCTGTACCACCTGACTGCTGCAGATTCACTTCGGTGTTGACAGTGTTGACATAGAAACGCATAAATCCGAGTCTGAGGATGTGAACATCTCAGAGTAGAACGTCACAGGTCGCCTTCTCTAAATTACGGTTACGACATGGTATGAACGCAGCATAAGCTCATTGTTTTGATTCAGGAGGAACTGTAAAAGGCGGCTACTGTTTGTTTGTGGCACTCGATGACTGTGTATCTACAACTCTGCATAGCCTTTTGGAACGCGCTGACGACGTCCAATCATTGCATTCGGACCGAATGCAATGATTGGCTGAACATTTGATTAGTCCTGCGACTTCCACAGACAATATATGTAAAAATTTTAATAGTTAGACCAAATTATTGATTGCTATCAGGATGTGAAGAGAGTTTCAATCAGAAAAACAAAATGTTTTATGAAATAAATTGCCCACTCTACCTTTAAGGAATAGTAAATGCAATGAAATAGTATAAACTGTTAGTACAGTTTATACTATTGTTAGGGTCCTAGAAATTAGGTCCTAAAACTGCAGCCTCAGGTATTGCAGGATCATTCAACTCTCCATTTATGTCACATTGCTAGTAAAGATTTTCCAGAATAACTTGTACACACAGATATTTGCTTCCTTTCTTATGAAAACAAAACCTTAATTCACAGGCACTGATGACTGTAAATGAACGGCTGAGGATTCTCTATCCGGACAGCGAAGAGCTGTTTGACATTGTTCTCATGACTAATAATCACGCCCAAGTTGGGGTGCGACTCATTAACAGCATAAATCACTATGGTAGGTGTGCAATTTCTCACTGCATTCTGGTCTGAATGTTACATAAGCTTGGACAAATTGTCATAATTCTGAGCAACCCTTAAAATTTTACAGTTGAAGTTGATCTGAAAGTTGACTTTGGAGTTTATTGGACAATTACGTTTGCACATACAAGGAGTTTGTCTTAAGGATATAATTAAATACAGTACAATGTACAACATACAAGGGAAGATATACAGTCAATAATACACAGTGTGCATCTATTAGAAGATAAAGTAGCCAGTAGCTGAATGATAATATGAAAATTCCCCTCTTACAGATCTAACGATAGAGCGATTCTGCATGACCGGAGGTCAGAGCCCAATTGACTACCTCAAGGCCTACATGACTAACCTTTACCTCTCAAAAGACTCCTCAAAAGTTCACGAGGCCATTGAGGAAGGTAAATTGATGACAAACACACAAATGTAATGTAGCTAAATCAAGGATTTACAGTACATTTAAAGTAATAATGGGTTCTATGAATGTTCCTCTTACTTTAGTAGCCAGTGTTTTTTGCTTCGCATTCAATTGGCTGTTGTAACATTTTGTTTATTGTAATAGGTATAGCGGCAGCCATCATGTTTAAGCCTGATATGGAGACTCAGCGGTCTGAGACTCAGCTGCGTGTGGCCTTTGATGGGGACGCCGTGCTCTTCTCAGATGAGTCCGAGATCATAGTGAAACAGCATGGCCTGGACACATTCTTCGCGCATGAGAAAATGAATGAGAACAAACCGCTTGCACAGGTATGTCAGGTGTTTCGACTAAACGTGGATCACATGATATTCTTCTTCTATGCATGGCATCTACTGGATACACTGTGTATCAGACATTGCCACCTTGAGGAATAAAGGTGAATTGCATTTAGAGTCATCCGAGATTAAATTAGGGGAAAGGTATTGAATGACCTGGGTCACCAAAGACCCAAGGAATGTGTTTAAGGGTCAAAGGGATAGTTCACCCAGAAATGACAATTACCCCATGATTTACTCACCCTTAAGTCATCCTAGGTGTATATGAAATTTTCTTTCAGATGAAAACAATCAGAGTTATATTTAAAAATGTTCTGGCTCTTCCAAGCTTTATAATGGCAGTGAATGGCCGTTTCTGTTTTGAAGTCCATAAAAGTGCATCCATCCATGATTAATGTGCTCCACACGGCTCTGGGGCGTTAATAAAGGCCTTCATAAGTAAGTTTGTGTAAAATACACACATTAAATATACATATTTAAAACTTTATCGACTAAAATAACTAGCTTCCGGCAGACGGCCTACGCAAGTCAACTTACGCCAAAAGAGGAACACTTTACGATGTATGACGTAGGATGTAGGACTAGCGTAAGCTTTGACTCCTCTCGCGGTTGAAACAAATGAAACAAAAATTCTCATTTTAGACTTCTAATTTGTGACTGGTGTTTTGTTTTGCTCTATCCTCTGTGCTTCCGCGTTCGTCATTACGTCGTGCGTCAAGGTCAAGGGTCACTCTTTCATTGTAAATCGATGCGTACGGCCGTCTGCCGGAAGCTAGTTATTTTAGTCGATACAATTTTAAATATGGATATTTTTCTTACACAAACGGATTGCTTTACTTCAGAAAGCCTTTATTAACCTCTAGGCGCCACGGTCGAGTTTACTCGACAAGATGCGGCCCTGAATAAAACGGCCGATTTTGTCAAATTGGGTGTCAAATTTCGTTCGACCTCCCCTCCACTGGATGTCAGACATGTCATACTTCATCCCCGAAAAAAAACCGTCATGCTTCTATACAAAATGTTCAAGTTAGAGCGCATTGAATCAGTGTGATCAAAAGCGGAGCTAGTGTGCGAGTGAGCCATTTTATCAGATCCTCTCCGCAATCGCGGCGACAGTATTGTGGTGGAGACTTTGTCTAATGCCACTGGGTATGTTAGACGAGGTCGAAGAAGTATTCATAGGACAGTTAGGAGGCAACGTGGAGGCAGGGTGGGGAGTCGCAATGACAATGACAGTAGTCTGAGCTGTGCACACTTGGCGCACGCGCGAGTCAGATCTGGCCGCGCTGCTCGTATCATCTCACTCATGATCTGTGCCTTGCCGTGGCGAGTGAGCTTTTGAACTAAACAGGTCTTGTCTACTTGTGTTTGTATGTCATATGAATAATATATATGTGCCCCATACATGGAATCAGAGTGCCTACTGTATGTAGTAAATGGAAGATCTCTACAGCAAAAGGCCAACCACTACATGCATTCGGTTCGTTTCTACCATTTATTAGTAATGATTTACACAGTTTGTTTACTACTTACTATATACCTGAGCATTCAGTATTGTGCAATATAGCATACAGAAGGTGATGGACATTTTGGGGGGAAAGAAGTGCTGCATTTTATCATTTAAACGTGCCTTTTCATGAAAATTCTATAATCCAAGATTGCCGCCACCATATGACGTCATAATATGCAAATTAGATGGGAAAGTGTAATCCCTACATAAACTTTGGGTCATCCTTAATATTTCTCTAATTTACAGAAAGTCTCTATCTTTTATCACTTTTAAGATATAGCCTTTTGAAATTAAGATGTCAAAATCGAACGTTTTAGGAAAACTCTGGCGCCTAAAGGGTTAACCCCCCAGAGCCGTGTGGAGCACTTTTATGATGGATAGATGCATTTTGATGGACTTCAAAACAGAAACGGCCATTCCCTGTCATTATAAAGCTTGGAAGAGCCAGGACATTTTTTAATATAAGCCCTATTGTATTCGTCTGAAAGAAGAATGTCATACACCTCAGATGGCTTGAGGGTGAGTAAATCATTTAATTTAAATTTAAGGGTGAACTATACCTTTAAGACTCTTATTTCATGTGGATGGTGGACTGCTGTAATTGCTCCAGCATTGGCAGCTGCCAATAATAGATGATCAGGTTCTCTCTAATCCCATTGGCTGACACGTTGCTCTATTTCGTGTTCAGGGTCCTCTTAAGTGCTTTCTGGAGGCTCTAGGGAAGCTCCAGAAGAAATTCTACGCCAAGAACGAGCGTTTGAACTGCCCTATCCGTACCTTCTTGGTGACGGCCAGAAGTGCAGCGAGCTCTGGGGCCCGTGTGCTGAAGACACTCAGAAGCTGGGGCCTGGAGATCGATGAGGCCTTGTTTCTCGCTGGGGCCCCTAAAGGGCCCCTGCTGCAGAAGATTCGCCCTCACATATTCTTTGATGATCAGATGTTCCACATTGAAGGGGCCAAGGAGATGGGCACTATTTCTGCCCACGTGCCATATGGGATAGGGCAGAAATATAACAAAGGGAAACTGATTGAACCAGAAAAGCAGCAGCAGCAGAAATAAAAGATGACACTCGGATTGTTACAGGTCAGCCTTAGTCACTAAGGGAGTTTATCATATAGTTAATATTGTGTAGATGAAAATATCTACCCCTGTTTTATGAAATTTATGGAAATATATTAGAGGAACTGCTGTGTTCTTGTAAACAGAGTAGAAATATGTTTTATAGACATATTTTTGCAAAACTTGTTTTATTAGCAATAATGCTGGAAAAGTATTTTTTGTTTTTTTGGACAAGTAAATGCCTTATGTTTGATACTGTTATCTATCTATCTATCTATCTATCTATCTATCTATCTATCTATCTATCTATCTATCTATCTATCTATCTATCTATCTATCTATCTATCTATCTATCTATCTGTCTGTCTATCTATCTATCTATCTATCTATCTATCTATCTATCTATCTATCTATCTATCTATCTATCTGTCTGTCTGTCTGTCTGTCTGTCTGTTTGATACTGTTTATCTATCTATCTATCTATCTATCTATCTATCTGTCTATCTGTCTATCTATCTATCTATCTATCTATCTATCTATCTATCTATCTATCTGTCTGTCTGTCTGTCTATCTATCTATCTATCTATCTATCTATCTATCTATCTATCTATCTATCTATCTATCTATCTATCTATCTATCTGTCTGTCTGTCTGTCTGTCTGTCTGTTTGATACTGTTTATCTATCTATCTATCTATCTGTCTATCTGTCTATCTATCTATCTATCTATCTATCTATCTATCTATCTATCTATCTATCTATCTATCTATCTATCTATCTATCTATCTGTCTGTCTGTCTGTCTGTCTGTCTGTCTGTCTGTCTGTCTGTCACTGTTTATCTATCAATCTGTTTGATACTGTTTATCTATCTATCTATCTATCTATCTATCTATCTATCTATCTATCTATCTATCTATCTATCTATCTATCTATCTATCTATCTATCTATCTATCTATCTGTCTGTCTGTCTGTCTGTCTATCTGTTTGATACTGTTTATCTATCTATCTATCTATCTATCTATCTATCTATCTATCTATCTGTTTGATACTATCTATCTATCTATCTATCTATCTATCTATCTATCTATCTATCTATCTATCTATCTATCTATCTATCTATCTATCTAATCTATCTATCTATCTATCTGATGCTGTTTATCTATCAATCTGTTTGATACTGTTTATCTATCTATCTATCTATCTATCTATCTATCTATCTATCTATCTATCTATCTATCTATCTATCTATCTATCTATCTATCTATCTATCTATCTATCTATCTATCTATCTCTCTCTCTCTCTCTCTCTCTCTCTCTCTCTCTCTCTCTCTCTCTCTCTCTCTCTCTCTCTCTCTCTCTCTCTCTCTCTCTCTCTCTCTCTCTCTCTCTCTCTCTCTCTCTCTCTCTCTCTCTCTCTCTCTCTCTCTCTCTCTCTCTCTCTCTCTCTCTCTCTCTCTCTCTCTCTCTCTCTCTCTCTGTCTGTCTGTCTGTCTGTCTGTCTGTCTACAAGATCTATCATCTATCAATATATATTTTTTAAATCTTTATTTGGATTTACCTATATGCTATATTTATATGGAATATTTGATAATATTTGTTTTACTTTGATTTGCTTTATATTTTAATAAAGAGATATTTTATAAATAGAAAATTAAACAAAAAACACTCCACAGACTCATTTTGTAATGTATTTAGTCAACTTATCATAACAGATATTATCTGTCTGTTCTGAATGCACTGCTCTTATTTTTGAGGAGGATCTACAAGGTTCACATTAGATTTCATTAAAGTGAGACATTCTTTATCATTATTAGTTTTCTTTGCAATTCAGGCTGATCATCTGGCCATTATGCTGCTCTATGGTTGCAATCATTTACTGTTGTGATATGTTCTCATCAATGTTCTCCGGGGTTAATTTGCTTTCCACACATTGCTTGTTTTGCATATAAGAGTTACATAATGTGTTGGTGTCTCTGCTTGTATTAAAATGATCAAAAACACGATTGATTTTAAGGTTATGTTGCATGTCATTGAATCTCATAATTATTTTGTAAAGCTGTCATCTGATGTCTACATATAAGCTCCTAATGGAAACTCCTGATGGAAATGCATTGCTATTTGTATGTTGTTTACAAATGTGATCAGGCGGTTTCAATAAATTACATTTTATGCTGCATTGGTTTTGTTCCAGACTTGTAATTAGGATAGCTAAATAAAGGTTTTAAGGCGAAAGTTAAAGGAAGAGTTAATTGAAACTTTCATGTGGTTCCAAACCTGTATTGCTTTTTACTGTGGAATACAAAAGGAGATGCTACCAAAGAACCATAAAAGGCATCCATAACACTTGCAGAACACTATGTTCCAAGTCTTCTAAAGCCATATGATAGCTTTGTGGGATGAACAGCTACAAATTTAAGCCATTATTGGCTGCAAATCCTCCACTGTAGTTCTCACAGCTCTTGGTACAAGTGTTATATTGCTACAAGTTCATATTAAGTGACTTACATTACACACAATATTACAAGTTACATTATCTGTTTTCAACCCGTCAACCAAAATATGAACAATGCCAAACAATGTTTCTCATGAGCAATACTATTTTCGACAACACTAGCCGTTGCAATGGCCAACTTCCAAAAATACAATCAATTCCCAGGGACGAAATCAAATCAACACTGGGTCCGAAAGTCTGTTTAGGCAGCTGACTTTGTTGCCTCACTGTATAATCACTAACATAATTGTTGCCAGACCCATAGAGCTTATGTAGCTCCGCCCCTTTGCATTCTGTATTCCGGTTTGTACTTCCACAGTATAAAGGTAAGGTCTTATGGATTTATAAATGAACCGCTCGTCTTAAACCAGCTAATTACTCTTCGACAGCGATGCTGCGTTCACGCCACGTCGTAATTACCATAATTAAAGCTCTGAATGCTTTCAAATCGCTTGTCATATAGTTCTTTATGTTCCGACACCAACGAGACCACGTCAAAAACTATCCGACCATTGAGATTGGCGCTTTTGCTCACGTGTCTGGAGCTTCTGAAGTTACAGTAAAACACAACTTGGGGGCGCTCAAACACAAAACGGTCTTGCCGAGCACACATACGTAACGGCGAAGAAGATGCGCCGAGTAGCGTCTGTCTACACCATAGATATCCATAATAAAGGCTAGATGTCTCGTCCGCGCTGCTGGCCAATGGCCTTTATTATGGATATCTATGGTCTACACTGCCGGGAAGAAATAAGATGAGGAAGATGCAAGGCGAGATGAATGTATAGAGCTGCTCGTCTCGTTGGTGTCGGAACATAAAGAACTACATGACAAACGTGACAGCGACTACAAAAATCTTGATAAAAGAGAACTGTTATGGAGTGGTATTGCAGAGCAAATGGGCGCCATCTAATGTCAGGGAATGAATTTGCATGTTCACTCGGCTCATCGTCAGCGAAAATCGCTTGGGTGTGAACACAAAAAACGCGTTGAAAAACGCTGGCGAATAACGCGCGCCGATATTCGTCCTGGTGTGTACGAGCCTGCCGAAAAAGCGTAAAGGCTCGTACACACCGGGACGAATATCGGCTTTCAGGTGCTTTCACTCTTTGGTCTACTCTTTGGTGCTTTCAGTTTGGTCTACTGCCGAGGTTGCTGTGACCACTGACCGTGTACGACGTTTCTTTGACAACAGTGGATAAGCTGGAAGCGTTGATAAGTTCATACATCAGGAAATGGTTGGGAGTTCCACGCTGCCTCAGCAGAGTGGGACTTTATAGTAAAGGAATATTGCAGCTGCCAGTCTCTGCTTTAACCGAGGAGTTTAAGTGTGCCAAGGTCAGACTGGAAATGACCTTAGTAGAGTCACGCGACAAATGTGTGAGGGAGGCAGCCCCTGTGTTAAAAACTGGTAGAAAGTGGTCAGCAAAGAAATCTGTTGTAGAGGCAAAGGCTGCCCTTCAAATTGGGGATATCGTGGGACAGGTACAGCAGGGAAGAGGGGGTTTTGGGCTAAGTTTAGCTCCTCCTAAATGGCACAAGGCAGGCCCAGCTCAAAGGAGGAAGCTGCTAGTCAACGAGGTGCGAAAGCAGGAGGAGAGGATGAGGTGTATAAAGGCCATTTCCCAGGCCAAGCAGGGAGAGTGGATGAGATGGGAGAGTGTGGAACAACGCAAGATGGGCTGGCAAGACCTTTGGTCAATGGAAGAGAGTAGGATCAGTTTCTTTATTAGGTCAACATATGATGTTCTCCCATCACCGCAGAACCTAAACCTCTGGGTAGGAGAGGATCCCTCTTGTCCTTTGTGTTCATCACCTGCCACATTTTGACAGGATGTAAGGTGGCTCTTAGCCAAGGTCGGTTTACTTGGCGCCATGACCAAGTACTGCGATGTTTGGCTTTAGCATTGGAAGGCAAGCGTAGTATGACCAATAAGTTGCCACCTGTTCTAGCAAGACATTACACGCAGAAGACAATATTCCTCCGCCCAAGCGAGCAACCACCAAGAAAAGGTGTTAACACCAATTCTCGCCCAGGACAACTGGAAGCTGCTAGGGACTGGAAGATGCTGGCTGATCTTGATCAACGGCTTATTTTTCCACCTGAGATTGCCACCACTAACCTACGATCAGATATTGTTTTGTGGTCTGGATCAGCACGCATTGTTCAACTGATAGAGTTAACAGTGCCATGGGAGGATGCGGTGGATGAGGCATATGAGAGGAAGAAACTGCGGTATGCTCATCTGGCCACTGAAGCAGAAAAGCGAGGATGGAGAGTCCAGGTTTATCCAGTGGAAGTGGGTTGTCGAGGTTTTGTGGCACACTCTACAACCCGGTTCCTCAGAGACGTCGGATTCAGCGGCGGTTGCGTCGCACAGTAAAGAACTTATCTGAAGCAGCAGAGAGGAGCAGCAACTGGCTGTGGTTGAGACGGAAAGATTCTGGCTGGCTGTGCACAGGCCGCCACGCTACGGTTTCGTAGAATTCTAGAAAACTTGAAGAGTCTGTTGGTTTATACGTTCCTGTGGATATTGCGCGAATGACGGGTGGTTGGGCAGATATTGTGTTTTGCGTTAGGTGGTAACCCATACGGAACCGTTGCCACTGAAACTGCCTATTAACGCACCAGTGGGGCTCGACAGCCTTAGTCAAACGGGGTGGCGCGTATGGTTGGGTTGCGG